AGAGAGAGAGAGAGAGAGAGAGAGACCAGCTGATCATCCAGATATGCAAGATGTGGCAAACTCGACACCCTGCACTCACACCCACCCACCCACACACCCACCCACCCACACACCCACACACAGACAAATGAACAAAATGAAGAAGCAAAGCACAGGAGATAGAACGTAAGAATTGGAACACTGTTTATTGTGTGCATGCAATCCCCAAAAGATACCAGCAATGTCCTCAACCCCTCCCAACAAGCACACCCTCCCTACCTCCCAAAAGAAATCCACTCCACCCCCCCAAGCCACTTAGCTCTTCCCTTGCCACCCAGACATATATCCAATTGTCACGCAACCCACACTAATGGCATGTCTCAAGGATTCAGATTGTGTGTGCGTCGTGCACGGCCCAATTTTTCAGGTGTGAACACACACACACACACTTGTCGACTTTCTCACATCCACTACTACATGACACTGCTCCTTACGCAGGAGGAATAGAAATTATAGAATAGGCTGACAAGCACAGAGCCCAAGCCACAGGTCCTATCAATGCCTGTGCGGTGTTCAGTTTGCCTGAGTTCCTGGACACTTGCAACGCCAGGCTCATGCTTGTTTAGCATGGACGTAAGCATTGGCAGGGCCGGACTCCCAGAACCACGTACATATTATAAAAAGAGTGAGCGGCAAGGCCCTGGACGCTCAGAGGACATATTGCTGGGGCGTGACGAACCTCCTTCAATCGGGGATGGTCATCATCGAAAGGGGGAGAGCTATATCTAGAGTGAAAGGACATCATTTCGGCACATCTTCAAGGATTCCTAACCTAACTGCGTGGAGCTGTAGTCTAACGAGAGGACCTACGCTATTGAGAATGGGAGGAGGTCCTCTAGCCTGTTGTATTCAGAACAGGATTCTAGCCTAGTTGTGGAAGGGAACACATCTCTACAGCCGAGTGCATAACTAAACAAGAAGACATCCATAGCCAAGGGCTAGACTAAAAGGGGGGGAAAAAAAAATCTATACAGTCCGAGCTTGACGGCCGAAGACGATATTGTAAAAGCACCATTATTGCTCAATCACAGCTCCACGTCATTCACTGGACCCTCGAACGAGACCCCACTTTGCACCCTCGTATGAAACCCCTCCTTTTGTCTCTAAGGAACTAAGGAAAGCTACAAGACGATTGGAGCTAAGACTTTGACGAAGACATTTGGAGCTAAAATTGATTGAGAAGATGACTCTAACCCAGATGAAGAGGGGCACCCAAAAGATACGGGAGAGAGTCCAGAAATTAAAGAGCATTTAATGGGGGTGAAAATTGGGGGGTCGGTTAACCTTCTGTCAGCGTTTAAAGAGTGGACTCAGTGGAGTGATTCGCTGACCCCTCTCGGGACCCCTCATGGATAGCGTCGCATCATTGGACCCCTAATTCACTGACCCCTAGCCCAGCTTGTTGAAGAGATTGGTGGCTGCATCCATCCCTCAACCTTTTCTCCGCCTTCCCTGCCTTACTTCAGCTTGTACTACTACACAAAGGCCAGATCTATCGCCAGGCGTAATTCTGCAGATCAGGCGGCCGGAGAGGACAACGAGGCGGCTCACGTGAGCAGTGCTTTGTTTTTTTTTCTTTCTCCTTTTTGTTCTCAGCCGAAACCGGTTAATGGCCCCGGCAGCAGAATGAAGATGGATGTAATGGGATGCTGGACCCAGTTTCCAGCAGGTGCCGCTCCTCACCAACATATCAGAGCGATCAGCAACAGGCCTGCTAGGAGGAGATGCTCTTACCATCCCCCTCTAGCAGACCGGGTCTGGATTTTTTGTTTTGTTTTGTTTTTTTAAGCCCTTTAAAACATCACTACCTTTTCCCATGTGGGCCGCCATCGGACCCCCGATTCTTTAGGACGACGAAACAGAACAACGGGACACCGATGAGATTCATCAACGGCTTTCATCATTGGCCACAGCCTCCAATTTTAGGCGTACGCTATTTCCCCGTTTTCCCAACAGCAGGAAAGGTAGTGGTGCTTTAATAATGCCATGGTGAGGGTTATGGGATTGCTCTTTTGCCTGGGCCATGATTGGGACCAACAAAGAGATGTTCCAAATAGAGGGCATAGGGTTGAAGCCGTACCGATCTGGTGGAAAACGTGAAAGCACATCATCCAACGGCGTGCTGCTCACAGCTCGCAGACACGAGCAAAGCAACTGCCCTCAACCTACATGCCCCGACCTCCACACGGCCAAAGCACTATGCTGGTGAAAAAAAAAAAAAAAAAAAAAAAAAA